GATGAAAGTTGGCTCTGAAGTCATACCAGTTATTGATTCGTTCACAAATCTCACCATTTTACTATTCGGAGTTAGATAGCCTTCACCTGAGGTGGCTCAGAGAAAACAGAGCCACAAAGATTCCCTCTATCCACAAAATTTTTTTCAAGTTTTTTACATAACTTTGATCTAAATCTAAAACCCCAGAAGCGAATTTCTGAACCTCCCCAACCCCCTCCCCTTCCCGTCTAGTTACAGGTTCCAAATACTTTGTATGGAGGCGGCAATCCTGCTCCAAGTGCGCGGTGGTGTGCGCCGGATAGGGTAGAGGACTATATGTAATTTGTTGCAGATGTCTCTCACTTCCGGCGACATATAGTCCCCCAACCCGCCGGATACATCATGCTGCCAACTCAGAGAACACGAACTCTTTAGGGTTTTCACTGTCTTTTTAATATTATTCTGTATCTTGATATATTTTTATTCGTTAGTCATGTTTGGTTCTTTCATGAGCTTGTCATAAGGGATGTGTTGAGAACTCATCGAAGGTTACTTCGCATAAAAAAACTGCCAAAATCACCTTATGCCGAGTACTGATAGCTAGAATCAAAGACATACATTGCTTGGTAATTTAGTTTTCAGCTCTTTCGTAACCTTCAGGCGCAAAAGTAGGTTTCGAATCATACAAAACCCCTTTGGAAGCTCTCAATGCATGTCACTGTAAATAAAGAAGATGTGTGATTCACTACTAATTTAATCGTAAATTATATCTGATGGCTATTTAGAACCGCAGAAGCCGAGAGTTTTCAAACGGCTAAAAAGCTAATTCGTTTTGAGAAGTTTCAATAATTTATTATTGATTGATTTTTTTTGTAACATTTCATTTACGTATTTTGCTTATGTATAGTTGACTGAAATTATGTGTAACCGAGATCCCCGTTGTGCTATGTTCTCCCTTCATATACATAAGATTATAGTATTCTAAGGAAACTCACTTTGGAATGATCCGAGTCTGGGTGTCAAAGAGGCGTAGATAATTCTTTTCCAGCGTATTCTCGTAGTAGATGATATCGTATATCTTGTAATCCGATTTTCTCACAGATTTAGAATACTTCACATCTACTGCTACATTGATTTTCTGTTTCCTAGCTGTACACCTATCATCTTTGATTTCAGTGAGTAAATCTGCATCAATTAGCATGGCAGGAAAGGGAGGATCAACTTCATCGAGCCTTGCTGTGCAGTTGACCTAAAATTCAAAGCTTTTTTTATTACGATAAAGTCAAATCTTCGACTTACCCCAACTTGTGGAAATTCAAATGCAAACATTTCTCTGTAATGTTCGTGAGTTGTGTACAATAGTATTCCGGATATTACGATGCTGCCAATAAATACGGAAAATATTCGTTGCATTTGACGGATCTGAAGAAATTTTTTAAGAAATGCAAATTTTGGGTTTGACCTTGTACGCGCATTGATTCAAACATACAGAGTGAATCAGCGACACAAAGAAAGGTTTAGTTGAACAGATTTAGCAGAAAAACGACTTAAGATACGGGAATACCGTAAGCTTGGCTAACTTTCCTTACTGTGATAGGAACGAAGCGGAAATTAAGTGATTTTTTCTTCTTCTTTTATTAAGCCCGT